CTTTGTTATGGCAATCCTAGCAAGTTAATACAGAGCATGAGGGAAATTTGGGGTGTGGTAAAAATATTCCTTCTTTTAATTAGTATGGGGATCCAGTGAGCTAAAAACTCACTGAACTCCATACTTAAAATAGGTTCATTTTGTTGAATATAAATATTATTCTTCAATAAAGTTGATTTTAACAGGTAAAATTAATGGATTAGTTAATATTTCAAAGATATGATGGCTCTTAGTCAATTTTTGCTTTTCAGGCCTGTAGGCTACTTCATGCCAGTTACTACTCTGATGACTAATTAAAATTTAACTCTGTTACTGTAAGAATGTAGGATGACGACTGCATAATGAAGTCAGGGAAGTTTGTCTGGAACTCAGTGATTCACTGGGTGCCTGTTGGTGTTTCCATGTAAAGTAACAATTCAAGCAAAGCAGATACAAAAATACCTCCCTCCATTCCCCATCAGTTCTTCATACACAAACACTGCAAATACACAGAATTCTGGGTAACTACATTTAATTTTTTTAAAAATCTGCAGGAGCCAGATTGCTGTTCATGAAGTTTGGGATGAGGTTTGAGGGAGGTAATAAGAGAAAGCTAGGACAAAGGAGGAACTAGAAAAGACAGTCCTTAATTAAAGGCTGGGGTTTAATATCTATCCAAAGTCAGGAGTTGTAGGGCTTCTTTGAATACAGTAGGAAATGAGATATAGTCTTCTTATATAAAACTGGGAATGCAGATAACACTGTCCTGCCCCTGAACCTGGACCAAAAACATATCTTTCTACCACTCAGATATGATAGCAATTGCTAAATTATTCTTTATAAATTTTGGTACTTATGAATTTCTAAAAAAATGCTGGTGGAATAGTGATTCTAAATTCTAGTTGGAGGGATTAATAAGTTTAGTTTGGGACATATTGAGTTTATGGAGTGCGTGGGACATCTAAATGTCCAGCAAGCTTACCTAGAGCAACTTAAAGAAAAGCGTAGCCTAAAGATATGCATTGGGAGCCATGGAGGAAAGGGCTGGAGCTAGATGATACCACTAAAGAAGAATATGTAAAACTGGAAGGACATTGGGCAAAAGTCAGAAGCCTGGGCTTCACTAACACTTGAAAAATTGGGAGGAGCATAAATAGTCACAGACAGAGGAAGGCAACTGGAAGAAGTACAACACCAAGCCCACAGAGCAGGCAAGCATGCACAAGAGAAGCCTGGAAGCTGCAAATTGGAAAATGTTCACTGGAATTGGCGATTAGATGTTAGTTCATAATGTTCAAAAGCAGTTTTCAAAGAGTGTGGGAGGCTAAAAGCAAATCACAGCAAATTTAGGAGTAAAAGGTAACTAATACAGTTAATATTATAGGAAGAGAGGAGTAAAGACAGAGTAAGAAATTACATGAGATGACAGTTTATACAGTGTCCGGCAGGAAACAGTGTCAAGATAGGTAGTTTGAGAATGGGATACATTTGAGTCTCCTAAAAGATGAGGAAAATGAGCCAGTACAGAAGATAATTTCATGATGTGGGAGAGGGAAATGTTAGTAAATGGAATGTCTGTATGGATGAGGAAGGAGATGGATTTAAGGGAACTGATGAAGAAATAAGCTTGGATAAGAAGAGAGGTCCTTATTTTTAAGAACTGGATGAAAATCTGTCAGATGCATGTAAGTACAAGTAAGCATCTTGGTAGGGAGATGAAAAGTTATCTAAAAGAGAATGTGTATCAAGTCCTTGCAATAATTAGATACTTGAAAGCCATCGATCCCAAAGGAATGCTTCGCATGACAAAAGTCTATTTCTTTGATAAGATAGTCATATTACCTCAGCCATGCTAAATCCAGTACATTTAGAAAATGATTGTACATAAAAACATATTCACAAAATAAGTCTCATGGGTAAAATTAACTTTGTCACTAAAAAGTCCACATAGGAATATAAAACATGATTTTCTAAGTATATCTTTCCCAAAGGGACCTACTTTGATAGAAGATAAAGTGTTGGATCACAGTGAGTCATGTAGCCTCTATATTACAAAGGTTGCTCTTACAAAATAATATCCTTTCTCTGGTTAAATATATTAGATAAGGGGGATGTTGTCTATGCCAAGAAGCATTGTAGTTGCATGTTAGGGGGTGTATGCATGTGTGGAAGAAAGACAGTGGTTGGAAGAAAGCCCTATCCTACTGTATTTCTATGTTTCTTACTGCTTGGATCACAGCAAAGAGACCCAGCTACAATCTCAGCCACTGCCACAGAAATGGATTCTCCATTAACTCTTCAAAGACCTAACTGAACTCTGTTTCTTGAACTCCTTTTTCTTTAGGTCAGATACCTAGTTACACCCCCTTTGTTAGACCATTCCTCTAATCCCTCCTATAGAGAATGGAGGCTTCCTTATTTGCCCACAACCAGTTAAATATTTTTGCCTATTAATGCAGAAATCATGCAGATTAAACTATATGCCATAAAGGGCAATGAAAAACAAGTTATAATGGTTGTTTCTTTGTATTGGCAAATAGCATTTTTAGTTAGTAAAAACATGTTTCCTGACCCCCGCCTTTACCTAGTATGTGACAATTTGACAAGTAGTGTCAGTAAATCAGGCAGTTTACTGACCTGATTACAATGTTGAGGCCATCAATTATACTGTTATGTCTTTTACTCAGATGGATTGTATCAACATATCATGGGGAAAAGTGTTAGCAGCTAATGTAAAATAAATGTGTTGGCAGGTTAAATATTTGGTTCTTCAGTGAAACGCCCTCTCCTGTTGTTATGATGGTCTGTAACAATCAACAATTTAGTTGGGGATTTTGGGAAGCTCTCGTAACCTAACAAGAATGATACATTGCTGTAGGTCTGGAGTTTTCTCTTTTTCTCTTTTTTTTTTTTTACATCTTTATTGGAGTATAATTGTTTTACAATGGTGTGTTAGTTTCTGCTTTATAACAAAGTGCATCAGCTATACATATACATATATCCCCATATCTCTTCCCTCTTGCGTCTCCCTCCTACCCTCCCTATCCCACCCCTCTAGGTGGTCACAAAGCACCGAGCTGATCTCCCTGTGCTATGCAGCTGCTTCCCACTAGCTATGTATTTTACATTTGGTAGTGTATATATGTCAATGCCACTCTCTCACTTCCTCCCAGGTTACCCTTCCCCCTCTCCTTGTCCTCACAATTTCATACCACTTTCTGTACCTCCATACATCCCAAAGTAGGAGTTAATTCATCCTGGACAGTTTCCTATAACCCGCTGTTTTGAAGGAATCACGTGTGAAGCAAGTCTCCTGTCCAAGAGTTAATGCCTTACTGCCCCACTTGCCACGGAGGGCTGTGAGTCTGAGATATGGTGCCCAGACCAAAAGGGATTATATGAGCAGACATTCTTCAGAAATAATGACTTATGAGTGCCTGTCTCATTTCCCTTTCCCTGGTGATATCCCCACAAAGACCAGTTAGAAAGGATTCAACAACTTGCAGGAAACAGAATTTGAGTTCTGAAACATCCAAAGATGAGTGAATGCCCCTTTTTTCTTCTCTGGAGCATTTCTAATTACAATTTTCTTACCACAGCCTAGATGATGAGTGAGATGAACTCTAAAAATAGTATCTTCTGAGCTACTTCTCTGTCTTGTGAGGTCCCCAAAGCAAAGCTACTGAATGATTTGCAGCTTATTGTAACCAGAATCTTCACAGATGTGGAACTATTGTTTTTTTTTTTAATACTGGAAGGTGCCAGATGGATGATGTTTATGGCTGGGGTCTTGATTTGGGATCACGGTAAGAAGGAGGCTAAAGTGGTGGTGAGTCCGTCAGCCTCTGCCTTCCATAAAAGCATTGGAAAGCAGTTTTCTCAGTTTGAGCTGAGCAATATCTGCATTCTATGTTATATGGCCACCTTCCTGGGGGCCAAACAGACTTACCAGTTGAGATAATTAGGGCAGATCCAACATCTCTGCCTCCGGGGCAGCGAAGCCTCCAATGTTTTATCCAAAACTTAGAAGGAAGTCACCAGTTCTATCGTGCTTCCTACATATCATCATTTATAAAATTGAACCATTTTATTATCCTATTTCCTGGCCTATTATTTACGGGGTATTTATTTCAGAAATAAAATATGGGGGCATCAAAGGAGAGGAGAAGGATCTTGTTTCCTTCCCTGTCCTAACTATCAATTTAAGTCTTGGCTTTACCATTCCTGAAACAAATGAGTGTGATATTTACATCCATGTTCACTGTTCATTCTTTCTACCACTCTCAGGAACTAGCAAATTGTTAATCGCCTGGTAAGTTCCAAACAAGAATGACACGAAACAGAATTTCTAGAAAGTGAGGGAATGTTCTAGCAGTTTCTGGTGAGGTGGCTAATTATTTTTTAGGGATGGTTTTAAGAATAGACCTGCTACTAACAACATTAAGACTGGATGGGACATCATCTTCAACTAGAAGAAAACAGTACTGGTGAAACTTTTAATTAACTAAGAAATCTCCTCACATCAAGACAGTTAAAGAAAAAACTAATATTCTCCTACTGATAGAAATGCAACTTCTCCCTCTTGCACAAGAGGGAGGAGATATGGGGATATATGTATATGTATAGCTGATTCACTTTGTTATAAAGCAGAAGCTAACACACCATTGTAAAGCAATTATACTCCAATAAAGATGCTAAAAAAAAAGAAAGAAATGCAACTCCTCAGAGCATATGAATGTTTCCTATAGAACATCTTGTACTAGCTTAGCAAGGCTATATATAGCTTTACACTCTGCTGGGTGTGCTGAGCTGTCTTCGGTCACTGCGGATAGGGCACCTTCTCCCCTCTCCTCACCCCACTAGTTTAAAAACAAACAAAGAAAGTAAACAAACAAAAACAATGCTTTCCTCACCTACTTTACTGGTGATTACATTTTCCTTCATAGGACATCAACATTTCATTTCCCATTTAAAAAGATACCCAATCCAATACCTTTGCAAGGTAGACATCAGGACCTTACCTGAGATCTGGTTTTCATAGGCCAGGAGACATAAGGGTAACTGTTTTGGAAGGATGGATGCCAGACTGTGGTGAAAATGAGAAAGAAACAGGAAGTTAAAGAATATTTAAGACAGAGTTTGGGCATCCCTCAAAGTAACCCAGGGCCAGATTTCACACTGAGAGTGGCTTGTTAGAGAAATTCTTGGAGCCTAGGCATTGTGGTCAAACACACTTTGGTTGAAATCCCATCTTTGTTGTACTGATCTATACAACTTTAGGCAAATCTTCTAATGTCTCTAAACCTCATTTTCCTCTTCTATAGAGCACACGTCAGCTACCTGGCCATTAATGGGTATTTCAGTAAATGATACCCACCATAGATACATCACTGTGTCAGAGATGCATAGAGACCCAGAGAAATATTCAGGTGAGAGACATTGACTATTCATTAGAAAATAGCATAGAATCTCATACTGAGTGAAGTAAGACAGAGAAAGACAAGTATATGATGTTTCTTATATGAGGAATCTAAAAAAAAAGCTACCAATGAACTTATCTACAAAATAGAATTACAGTTGTAGAAAATAAACTTATGGTTACTGGAGTGGGAAGCAGAAAGAGGGATAAATTGGAAGACTGGGATTGACACATACACACTACTATATATAGAATAGGTAACTAATAAGGACCTAGTGTATAGCACAGGGAACTCTACTCAATACTCTGTAATGGCCTATATGGGAAAACAATCTAAAAAAGAGTGGATGTATGTATTTGTATAACAGATTCACTTTGCTGTACACCTGAAAATAACTCAACATTATAAATCAGTTATACCCCAATAAAAAATTTAAAAAAAGAAAAAAAATGAATTATACATAGAGATTTTTTTCCCCTAAGAATCCTTAAAAACTTTTTGAACAGTTATTAAAATATTAAACTGGTTAAAATATTCTCTGACAGTGATTATGTGAAGAAGATGGTTCGCTCAGGCAACCCTGTGCAGAGGTATAAAACAGGGTATTTTGCTTCTGGACAGCTTAATCAAGATTATCTTAACCATCCCCTCAGCCTGATTAAACAGGGCTTCTTCCTGACTCTAGGTCCCTGACTTCCCTTTTCTTAGAGCATTTATTTTAGAAAACTTGTCATTGTAAATCCTTTCTCTGCCCCCTTTGAATTGTATGTAAATCTTCTCCCAGACTCTTGTCAGTTTTACAACCCAGGAAATGCTTTTCTCAAGGACCTAGGAATCATTTTGAAAAGTAAACACTGAAGGATAAAGTGTCCCACTCTCCCAGTTTCTGTGGAGGGTAGGTTGAACTTCCATGGGTGCCAATTAGCAAACACAGGTTGACTAATCACAGGAAAAAAAATGTGCAAACTCAGGAACAACTAAATGCGCTCACAAACCCTGGTGATCAACCTGCTCTCTCACATCATCCAGTACTTTTCCACTAGCTCACCCTCAGGGTTTAAAACCCTCTGCCGTTTGTTCCAGTGAGGCTGAGGATCCAGACTTGCTCTGGGCTCTCTACCTCATTGCTGGGAATAGTATCAGAATAAAATCAACTTCTGTCTGCTCATCTTGTCCTGTGCCCATTTTTTTTTATTTATTTATTTATTTTTTTTCTGTAATAAGCTCCACTCTGGTTTTGGAGCCTCCCTCTTGGCCATGAGTGTTCCTGTCAACATCTATTCTGGTACAGTTTCGAAAACCTTCAAGCGGTAATGAATTGCAGGCTGATGAAACTTGCAATGGAAGGGAATTCCATCTACACTTGGAGCCCTTTAAGGTACAAGAATGTCTATCCCCTAATATCTTCCTCTTGTGAGTCTACCTCCTGCTGGCCTCCAGGGGTGAATTGGCGTAGCAAAGTGTAGTGGTAATGGTCTCATATTTGTTCCTAGTATGCATGGCCTTTTGCAATGTGACTTTGCCACCTCTCCTGTCAAGAGATGCAGTCTTCTTCTCCAACTCTTGAATCTGAGTATGGTCTTATGCCTTGCTTCAGTTAATTGGACACTAGCCAATATGCCAGAAGCAGAATCTTCAAAAGTGTGCAGTGGGGCTTGCCCTTTCTTGCATGCTATGGGACCCATACCGCCTCCAAATAATGAGAAGCCATGGGAAGAGATCCCAGCCATCACAGCTTCTCCGGCTGAGTTCCCAAGCATCTTAGTGAGGCCATTCTAGTGTGATCTATTACATCCCAAAACATCTAGCCAGCCTACAGAATCATGATACATATCTGAGTTGCACTTTTTAAAAAATATAGTAAAAGCTGGTAACATTAGGATGTTACATTTACTAAGAAAGCATGAATGAGTTCCCAACCATGAGAAATGATGAGAAGTTAGCTGGAGAAGGAGGGGTATCCAAGAAAACATTCCCTCATATGGTGAGCTTCAAACCTGAAATGTTAGCTGGAATTTAAAAGAAATTTTTTTAAGTTAATTCAGAATCTCATAGAAAATCAATCTCTCTGTAAGACTAAAAATATCTCAGCTTTGAACACTTTTTTCATTCTTATTAGACTTGAGAGCATGCCCATTGATCTAGCAAGAGCAATTTGCTAATAATTAGGCTGGCAAGGCAGGCTTGAGATTATTACCAAAAGGGTGGGTGAGAGGCCCCTTTAGTTCATAAAAGTCACAGGCCTAGAGAGAGAAAAGATGAAGAAACAGCAGCAACCAAAAATGCCTCTGTTCCCTAAAATTCAGGTGAGATTAAACTCTATCACAGAAAAAAGTCATCCCATGCAGTGTTCAATGCCGTCTGCAGAGAAGAAATGGTCTTTAAGTTCCCCTCCCAAGAGGTCCTACAAACTCTTACATTCCTTTCACACTACACTTACCTCTCCTCCTCCTCTTCCTTTTTTCTTCTTCTTCTTCTTCTCCTTCTCCTTCTTCACTTCCATGAATATAAACAATATGCACTTGTCCATATCTCCCATTAGACCTGAAGTTCATTGAGTGCAGGGTCTGTGCTTAATTCATGTTTTTATCTCCTTCAATACAAGGTACAGAGAAGGTGCTCAATAAATGTGTGCTACATAAATGAATGGAAGAGGACAAGTTCTATGTAATACAGGGAGTAATATCCAGATAACTCTGTTCCTGTTCCTAAGGCCTGAACAGGGAGCTTGGCAAACAGCGGCCACCTTTCTTCGTATGAATTAAAGTTTATATTACAGAAAGCTGCGATAATGCATGAAAATGTGTCATATTTTTTCGTGAGGGCACCTGAAATTCCTCCAGAAATCATGACATGATACATCTATAATAAGTCTGTTTGAATGAATTCCTTTGAGTAAATTCCAGATAGTATTTGCTATTTGTATCCCTTCTTTCCGTTTGGGAGAACAAAAGCCTCAGCAGGGGACAGACTTCATGATGTTCCAAGACAAAACTTTCTGAGAGAGCACATGCCTAACAAGCTACAACCCGAGGTAAATATTTTTTGGAAGCTCAAACTAATTAAAAACAGTATTGTTTGCTTTCAATTGGTTAATAGGGTGAGATTATTTTTACTGTTTCAGTTTGCTTATACCCCAAAAAAGAAAAAAAAAAAACTATCCCTTTCCTTATAAAATATTTATTGTTTTCTATTTTAAAAGAAAGAACCAAATCAACTCTGTTTTGAAAGGCACATTAAAAATGTAAGCACAAAGCACAGGGCACATTTCACAGAATATAGGAACAGCTACAATTTTTTTTCATCTACCAGAAGAAATCAAATGAAGCCAGTTTGCCTCTGGGGTTTTAAACATCATTACAATTCATCTTAATAATGAAGTTAAAATTAACTAAAAAAATACAAAATGGGAAAAAATCACTTACTGGGTTTATTCATGGGAAAATGGATAAAAATAATATCCTTTGGGTATGGTTAAGAAAAAAATCAAAATAACCAGTATATAGGTGAACCATGAGTGAACCACACCTTAGGCATTTTGTGTTTATGGAAATATAAACTAATGCATAATACACACACTTTATACCCGTATGTAAACATATGTTCAGAATACACACATATACACCCAACAAAAAATAAATGCAACCAAGAGATCTTTAAATTATATTCAAAAATACTACACTCAAGATGATCTACTTACCATGGCATTCTGTTTCTGATATCGCATATAACTAACCACAGGAACTCAGTTCTGCTTCATGTAAGCTTCCCAGTTGTCATTGTGGAATCTTTCTGTTGAGGACTGAAAAGACAGATGAAAAGGTCAAAAAGGTGCATCTCCACTCCAAAAGGCCCTCAAATGTCTCCATGAGCACTCCTGCTTTGACTTCCATCCTCCCCCTCTGAGAGAAAGAACAAAACAGGTGCTTGCTCCTTGGAAATGGATAGGGGATTTGTTTTTTAACCAACTAAATCCTTTCCAGAAAACTAAAGCTGTCACATTGAGGATATAATGATGGTAACAATAATGAATTACAGAGCCAGGTTACACACTAGAAGATGCAGTGTTCGCTTGGCTATCAGATGGGAACTCGGTTTACTGATTCATATTCTGTGGTACAGTTCAGAATTCAATCATTTCTCTTCAAACTAGCAAATTACAATATTTTGGTTTTCATTGAAAAAAAAAAAAAAAACCTGTAAGTTTCCTGAGGAGGTATGCAAAGTTAACAAATTACAGGAATGAACCTATTGATTTTTTGTGTATGACTTGCTTTTTTTTTTGGTTGTTTGCTGTTATTGTTGAAAGTGGGAGAGATAATTGACTTAATATTTCTTAATATTAAGCTTAGTATTTCTTCAGTGTTTTGGAAAAACCAAACATAAAGAGCAAAGTATATTAGGAAAGAGAGAAAGCCCAAAGTCTCATGGAGTTTTTGCCTTTTAAAGTAAACAATTCCAGAAAGGTTGAGGATGAAATCAAGACTCTTTGTTCCTAACACAGAGGGATCATTCTCTGTCTCTCTCTCTCTCTCTCAATAACCATCACCTCTAATTAATCTGAGTTTTCACCCTGTCATTCTGATTCCTTTAAATATTTAGTCTTTTTTTCATACTACAAATGCAGAATAATAATAATGTCTCAAAAAGTCACAATTAACACATTATTTGTTCCAAGATTTTACCATTGGTGACCTGGTTATATGGTTAATTGTAAGTATGGTTTGAGGAAACACTCCAAAATTTACATGCTATCTGTATAACTGAGTAATATATGTACAGAAAATAATACATGCACAGAAAATTTTCCCACAAAGTATTTATTTACATAATAAAAACAGAGAGGACAACAGGTGGAGAAATTAACATGAATGGGGGGCTTGATATCTAAGTAAAGATTTTAAATGATTTAATACCACTTCTCCATTGAAAAGATAAGGAATTATAGCAGGTGAGCAGTTCAGAATATACATGATGGAAATCTATGGAATCATAGAGCTCTAACATACATACGTAATGGTTTAGATGTCACCCCCAAGTTAAGAATAAAAAAGGTGCTTTGTATCACTCAACTGGTTATTTCATAGAACACAGTATATTCATTATATTTTCCTGTACAAGGCAGTTTAGCACCGTGGTATATGCATAGGCTCTGAATTCATACCGCTTGTATCCAGATCGCAGTTATTCACTTGCTATCTGTCTGATTTTGCACAAATTTATATTGCTTTCTGACATCAGTTTCATTTGTAAAATGGAGATAATTCTATCCATTAGTGTCCAATCAGGAGATAGGAATTACATAGTAATGTGAAGGGGAAAAGTTTAAAATAAAGGATTGACCATAGCAGGGTGTTGGGGTTCGGAAGGAATGGGGCACAAGCATGAGGACTCTAAAGAACATAGGAATAGCAGATATAAGGAACAGATTTCAGGGTGAGATTGAACACCCAAGGAAGCAGCTGCGCCAGGGCTGAGATCCAGACCTCAATAGAGAGGACACATCCATGGCTTGCTGGATGACAGAGAAGTCATTGTGGTTTCTCACTAGTATAACTTGCTGAAAATCCAGCAACTGCAATTTAGCAAAAACTTACTTTCTAGGGTTCCAAGGAAAGCTGTTCGTGAGGAGGTGTCTCAAGAAAACACTCCACTATAAAGGTGCACAAGGGGAGAGCCAGGGGAACCTGAGGGCCATCACTTGCTAGAGAAGCTGGACATGCTTCAGCAACCTACCTACTGAACACACTGAAATCAGAAATCACCTCCTAAAGCCTCATAAAGGTTGTACCTCCTAATACTATCATACTGAGCACTAGGATGTCAACATATAAATTTGGGGGGGGACACATTCAGATCATAGCAGGCACCAATTTGTTTTCACTACTTTTTAAAACTCTGAAATAATAGTCCTAAAGATCACCTCACCTCCGTGAATGGAATGAATAAGACTGTCACCTCCTTGAGGAGAAGAATGATGTCTTCGTTTAATTGGGTGCAATAAATCCTTGCTGTACTGTTGCAGAATGCAAGAGTTGGTGCAAAAAAGAAAATTTGGCTAATACAATCTTCAATCCAAAAGAGCCTTCAAAATCCATGCATTGAATTACTCTGTCCCACATCTCCAGTAATGAATGCATGATACTAAAGAGAGTGTACAGGTATTTAGCAATAACTAATAACGTCCCAGAGAACTCAGTACTTGGAGAACTCTTGTGTAGTACATGAGTCTCTTCACTTACAGGGAACTTTTCCTCTCCTCCAATAGGTAACCATCTCTCCTCACTCTTGGTTCTTGACTTCCCTTCTTATTTATATGAAAGAAAGGGCACAATCAGAAGAAAAAGACTTATTTTCCCAGCATTACATCTAAGAACCCACAGACTCTGTACCCACAGACTCTGTTTACCTACTATTTCAACTTTTGTCCTGTCCATGCCCATTTTCAAAGGTCAGTTCCTCAAAATGTGCACTGGACCACACTCTTTCACCTATTCAAGGAATGTATCTCCTCTTCCTCCCACATCATAATTCCTACTCTCTTTACAGTTCTAATAACATATAAACATGCTATAATATTTCCTATTTTTAAAGTCTCTCTGCTGCCCTCATACTTTTTATCAGCCGCTCCCCTTTATAGCAAGAATCCCTGAAAGAGTTGTAGGTATGCTCCAATTTTCTCTTTAACATTTTGATCCCACCACTACTTTGAAATTCCTTTAGTTGTAGTCACAATGACTGCATCTTGCTAAATCCAATGATCACTTCTGCCTCGATTTGTCTGGTCCTCCAGTACAATAATATTTGACAAAGTGAACATATTTTCCTTCTTGAAAAACTTTCTTCACTCAGCTTTAAAAATATCAAATTCATATGGAAATTTCCCCATTCACTGATTATATTTGCTGACTCCTCTTTCTCTTAATGTTACAGTGCCCTAACCCTTACTCTTAAAATGGTTATTTCCTATCAAAATAATCTTATCCAATTTGACTGTATATACTGATGATGTCCACGTGTGTAACAACATCACTTACTTCTTCTCTTAGTTTCAGACTCATTTATACAGCTACCTTCTTGGTATTTAAATATTTGGTAGGAAGTTCAAAAAGAGAATTCTTGATTTCTCACACCTAAAACACAAAACTGCTCATCCCCATGTCTCTCTCATCTCAAAAATTGGCACTACCCTTTAACGACTTTCTAATGCCAACAGGATAACCTTTGATTTTTCTCTTTTCTTATCATCCCATATCTAATCTATCAGCAAGATAGGGTCATCTTGACCCTATCTGCAAAGCATATCCTGAGCACAACAGCTTCTCACCACCTCTACTTTTATCTCTCTAGTCCCAGGAGCCATCATTTTCTGGCTGTACTATTTTAATAGTCATCTAACTGGACTACCAGCTCCTGCTTTTTCCTTCCACAGTTTCGTGTCCCCATGAAGGCTAACATGAACTTTTCAAAGTTACCTCGTGCACCATAGCAAAGAATAGCTAGTTTGAAAATCTAGTTTTTCTTCTTCTTGCCTTCACAACTGGAGTACATGTTACAGTTTCCCTTGCAGTTAGGTTTAGTTGTTAATGCCTTTTTAGTCAATGAAATATAAAGAGAAGTGATATTTACCACTGCCAAGCCTAAACCCCAAACCCTTCTATATATGATTCCCATGCTCTTTTTCCTTCTTCTAGCTTGATACAGTAAGCATGCAACTTGCTTCCATATGAATTTTGTAGGGAACAGGTAAGAGTAAATTCCTTGTGTAACTGATTCACTTTGTTATAAAGCAGAAACTAACACACCATTGTAAAGCAATCATACCCCAATAAAGATGTTAAAAAAAAAAAAAGAGTAAATTCTTATGTCCTTAACATTCTCATAGTCATCCTGGATGCAGGGTATGGCACCATCAGGACTGGAACAGTACTATATTTTCCCTTTATCCACAGAGCTGTGACATCTAGGAACACAAGCATTAAGGCTCTCCCCCTGAGAAACTGTCATGTATTGGATGACTGGCTCCACCTCTTTCTTCCTTCATAAAAATAATATAAAGAAAAAATAGAAAGTCAAAGTTATTTTGCTCTTGATGCTTATATCCTTACCAGATTTGTAAGGAAACTTTAGGGGGAGATGTAGTATGGAAAACTCAGCTTTTGTTTCAGATATATTGATAAGGTTTGGTCCGGTTGTGCACTTCCAAAACACTCTGTACCACTAAGTAATATTTGAGAGCTACAAGTAAAAATTCTTGATTCAAAATGTTTTAGTCTTTCTCTGTTAGAATATTCCAAAGATGAAAATCAATCTCTACTCTAGAAACAGAAAATGATATCAAAAATTGAATTAAATAGGAAAGTAGTGACAAATTTTCACTTTGAAATAAACGTGTGAGACTAGCTGACAACAGGAGAGCAAGTTCAGATTCTCACTCCTCTAGTGGTATGGTCTAACAGGCATTTAGCTAGCTGAATAGGGCAGGAAAAGAGGGTCTTCAGCCTACACCTGAGAATGCACTGAAGTCACTAAAATTATCATCGAAGACTTGAGGTTTCCTATCAAATTTGGGGATTTTTTTTCTTTCAAGGTGACCAGCCTAGACAAATAAAAAATTTTGTCTCAAATGGCCCAAAGGCTAAGTACTGGAAACTAAAAATGATCTCTGATAACATGAATATAAACTATCAAAATTGCTATGTCTGCACAAAACTTGGAGGTTCTCATTTCTCACAATCAAGTATCCATTGGAGATTTTAAATCATTTTCATTTTGCTGTTACCAAGAAGAATAAAGTCTAAT